GCGCCGGCTCGGACGCCTCCCGCGCCGCCAGAGGGAGCAAGTAGCTCGCCACCGCCTCGGCCGCGCCCTGCGCCTCTGCCGCGCCGGCAGCGGCTGCCGCGCCGCATGGCGGAAAGGCGAGGGAAGCGAGCGCCTCGCCGAGAGAGACACGCTGCTGCGGCGAGAGCTGAGTCCCCTTCCCGCTCGCGCCGACCAGCGCGCGCGCCGCCGCCGCCGCGCCGCCGCCGCACAGCCGCGAGCGCAGCGCGCGCAGCGCGGCGGCGGCGGCGGCGGAGCGGCCGGCGGGGCTTGCGGCGAGGAGGGATGGGGCGAGCTGCTCAGAGAGGGAGGAGGCGGCGGCCGCGGGCAGCGGCGCCGCGCGAGGCAGCGCCGCGAAGAGCCTCGGCAGGCACGGAAGCACCCCCTCCGCCGCCCGCTTGAGCGCCTTGGTCACCGCCGGAAGCACGCGCTTGAGCAGCTCCTCGGCCGGAAGGGCGCCGAGCAGCGGCGCAAAGCCGTCGATCGCGACGGCGGGCGAGGCGGTCGCCAGCAGGCCGCCGAGCAGCTTCGACCACGCCGCCCAGTCGAGCTGCTGCTCCGCCGACGCGCGGCCCCGCGCGAGGAGGAGCGGAAGCACTGCGCCGGCGAGCGCGCATGCAGCGTCGGCAGCCTCTGAAGCGGGAGGCGTGGCGGAGCCCTTCTCGGCGAGCAGCCACGCCTGCGCCGAGGCGAGCAGCGAGCCGTGCGCCCGCAGCAGGCGGCGGACGGACGAGACGCCCACCCTCCACGCCGCCGAGCCCTCGCCCGAAGAGTGGGCGCCGTGCAGCAGCGCGGCGAGGGCCGGAAGGCGTGGCCCGACGGCCGCGACGGCAGCCTCGCACTCGGCTGTCCCGAGGGCGCAGCGCTCCTCGACGGTGGCGCTCACCATGCTGAGTAGCTGCGCGTGGCCGAGCGGGGTGCGCCGTCGCGGCGAGGCCGCCGCCACCGCCGCCGCCTCGAGCAGCGCCTCGACAAAGGCGGAGCCCGACTCGCCACGGCTGTGCTGCCGGAGCCGCTCGAGGAGCGAGCGGTGCGTGCGCTTGTCGCTGTGCGAGTCGGCGGCGCTGACAGCCTGTGAGGCGTTCATGGACAAGCCGAAGGCTGCCTCGCGCGACACGAGGCGCAGCTTTTCTTTTTCGTATATGTAGCTCAAAGAAGTATCGGGCGCCACCTTTTTTAAGCGCCTGAGCTCCTCCCACTGCGCTCCTCCCTGCATCTCTGCAGAATGTCCCTTGTTTGTACGTGAGAGAGTGCGTTGTGTTCTTGTTCTATCCGCTTTCTCTTCTGAGCCAGTCCCGTGCCCAGTCCTGTGCCCAGTGTCGTGCGAGGGAGTTTTGTTGTAAAATTCTCTTCTGTTGTGCGCGAGCGCCTTTTCTTGTAAAATTCTCTTCTGATCTCTTCTGCTCTCGTACAGTGGGTTGCGGGCATTAAGAAACCTTACCATTAAGAAACCCTACCAAGCGATTTCCGCGAAAATCTAAGAAACCACGGCGCACCGCAGGCGCGGCCCCGAGAAAAGGCCAGACACGAGTGTGAACGGGAGAGAGAGATTTTTACGTTTTGTGTGAACGGGAGCCCCAGCTGAAGGTGAAGCTCAATCAAAATTTCTCTTCGCCTGCGGCGCGCGCACTTGTCACCTTTCAAGTCTGCGGAGTTCTGACATAAAAGGGGGGTCTGTTTCCGTCCGTCCATTCCTTAGCTTTAATACCTAAAAATCCTTCGGGCCGGCGCTCTGGCTTGATTGAGTGCCCCGGCCGGAGCTAAGAAACCACGGCGTGGGGTGGATGAGGGCTGTGGAAAGGTTTAGAAACGGCGGCGTGTCTCAATCCTGTTTTCTTCATGCCCGCAACCCACTGGGTTCCAACTTTTTGCGGGGTATGGTATGGTACCCTCGCGGACCAAAGGGTGGGGGGGTATATGGTCCTGACCGCCCAAGACTAGCCCTCGACAGGGGGTGGGGGGGGTATGGTCCCCGTCGGCCCCTCCCTCTACTGCCGCCGAGCCCGCAGCGCCATGAGGTAGGAACAGGCGCCCGTGTCGCAGAGCTGCTGCAGCTGCTCCACACTCCACTCGCCGACACCCTTCTGGTTGCGGAGCGCCTCAATGTCGCGCGATGGCGCGAATCAACATAGCCGTCGCAAGATCTCGAACGCCAGCCGTCCAAGTTGGTTGACCTTTGTGTTGCGCTCCTCCTTATTTGCGAGGTTACGCATCTCGGTGACCAGCGCGAGCAGCGATGCCTTGGTGCAGCGCCAGCAGAGAGTGATGATCTCCCGCGGATGATTTGAGCACGCCCGTTGCTGCCGTGCCGTGATAATGCTCAAGCAGCAGCTGCAAGAACCGGGCCTTGCAGCCAGACTCTAAGAAAAAGGGTCCCTCTCGCTCGTCGTCATCGCTCTAGTCTGGCGCGCCCGCAGGCCCCGGCGGAGCCTAAGGCGTGTTGCCGAGAGCAACTGCCAACTCCAATAACTCCGGAGCGAGAACACGACCCCATAGGCATAGCGCGGGGAGGTCCACCTTGGGCTCGGCACCGGCTTTGCTTGGGAACACTCTCCATTGAAGCGCGTGGCTTGTGCTCCGTTTTGCCACCATGGTTTTTTTTGGACTCTGTGAATACCTAACTATTACCTCGTCTCTCGTCGACAAAACAAATCTATTTCACTGTCCATGGCGCCCGGTGCTGGCGTCTGACCGCCGACCCCAAGCCGAGCGCAAGCCCGGAAGGAAAGAACGTGTGGCAGTGCTCTGCAAACGAGGCGACGGGGCCTCGACGGCTAGCGTCGGCCTCGCCCCCACGTGGGGAACGCTCGCCGCCTCATTCGAAGAGCTCCAGGAGTTCTTCGACGCCTTCCCCGAGAAAGATGAGCGCGCTCTCGATCGGTCCGGGGCGCGGGACGCGGAAACGCCA